CTCTGTGTATCCCTAGATGTCCTGAAACTCACTATGTAAACTAGGCTGGCCTTGAACTCAGAGACTTGCCTGTCTTTGCCTCCTGAGTGCTGGGATTAAAGGCATGTGCCACCCCGGCCAGTTAGGACATTTTCTTTAGGAGGGAGGTGGGAGAAGAAGGCATAACCTGGGCTATGTAAGACCTTAGCTTTAAATATATATATCAGCTGGAACCTCATCATCCAGGGGGAATCTATCAGTGATGTTTAGAACTTCTTCTGACAATTCATTTTTTTAGATACAAAAGAGAAGGGTAAGTAGAGGCCAAGGGGACATGTAAGAATGTCATCTAGTGAGGGTCATCTCCGAGCAAAGGGAACTCCAGGGAGCTCTGGGTTCTGAGAATGGAGAGAGCAGTGCCGGACAGGAGCAGGCTCAGGGTAGGGTGAGTCACAGATGGGCCTGAGGGTAGCAGGGTAGGGTGAGCCACAGATGGGCCTGAGGGTATCAGGGTACGGTGAGTCACAGATGGGCCTGAGGGTATCAGGGTAGGGTGAGCCACAGATGGGCCTGGGGGTATCAGGGTAGAGTGAGTCACAGATGGGCCGGAGGGTAGCACGGGTGCTTCTACCCCTTGGCCACAAGGTCCTGGAACCCACAGCAGACTTCAAAGTTCAGGATGCTAAGATCAGCCTCACAATAGACCTGAGGGGGACAGATTCAAGATTTTAGAGAAACACCTAAGAAAAAAGTCATCAGGCCTTTGGAAGAGCAAGACTGGAAGCCCGGAGGAGGCCATTCCTGAAAACATTAACTTGAGAGTTGAGTCAGGCCCAGTGGATGAAGGCTCTAGACACCAAGTCTGATGGCCTGGGTTTGACCCTAGGATCCTACATGGTAGAAGGAGAGAATCAGTCTTGCCAGTTATCCTCTGACCTTCACACGAATATTGTGACATGCCACCTCCCAATGTATGCACAATAAATAAATCTAATTTAAAACATGAGAATGAGTCTTTGGTGTGGGGGACAATGCTGAGAAAGATGTGGCTTTGGTCTGAGAGCATAGGTTTGCAAACAACAAGATTTAGTCAAGTGTTGAAGACACCACTGATCAACTGTGTACCTAGTCCCTGGGTGTTATTTATCTATCTACAACTCCGGAGGACACCGATACAACACCAGTACAATCCGATACAGCAGTAACAGGGCATCAGTGTGAGGATTTCTCAGGCAATACAGCTAAGAGCCAAGTGAGGTGCCTGGCGCACAGAGGACCCCTGGAATGTTTGGAGGAGACAGAATGGGAACAAAGGCAGAGGGATAGGGTGCAGGAGAAGGTGCTGAGAGGACCAGATGTCACGCATAGCTGCAAAAGGAACATGTGTCCTGCAGAGAAAGAGAGGTATTGTGTAGGCTGAGTCAAGAAGGACACCAGAATAATGGCTTCTAACGCTGCCTGGAGCCAAGGAAGGGCTCAGAGCCTAGAAGGTCCCTGGTGAGGGACAACTTGAGAGTTGCCATGGTGATTTGGATGAAAGCCAGAGGCAGAGAGGTCTAGGAGTGATGGGAGAGGAGGAATCCAGGGGTGAGTTCACCAAGACTTTCAACAAGCTTGGCAGGGGGAAGAAAGGGCCACAGGGTATTTCAACATGTATAAAGACAGAGGAACAAGTCAAAGAGCTTCTCAGGCAAAGGAGGTGACCACCAGTGTGTCACCTGTTAGATTATTTTTCCTTCTTTAGGAATCAGAATGTGGGGGTGGAATGTAGCTCAATGGTGGAGTGCTTGCCCAGCCCCACCAAGCCCTGAATGGATCCCCAGCACCACAGGAACTCAGCATAGTGGTGAGTGCTTGTAATACCGGCACTCAGTAGGGAGAAGCAGGAGGGTCAGAGTTCAAGGTCCTCATCAGATTCTTAGTGAGTTTGTACACAGCCCAGGGTACGCGAGAACTGCCTGGAAACAAACAAACAAACAAACAAGCCCTTTGAGAGGGCATTTTTGTCCACCTGTCTTTCCCTCCTTTATTCTCTTCTTCCATCAGCCCACCCTTCATTTAATGACACATTCCCTTAGGCCTCTGGGCCTGGGCTGATGGCTAACAGGAAGGCTTTGGCAGAGTGCAAAGCAGAAGCAGGAGAGGCGAGAAGTTGAGCCCAATTCACCCCTACCTCTTTAGGGCCTGTTTTAACAGGAAGACAACCAATTGATGAATGATATAACAACATCACAAGGGGTTGAACATGAAATGTCCCCCACAGACTCATGCATCTGACCTTTTGGTTCTCAAACGGGTGCGACTGCTTTGGGAGCCTGTGGAAATTTGGGGACACAGGACCTAGCTGATGGACAGAGGCCACTAGAGGCCAGCCCTGCTTCAGGTTCTCTGTCTGTTGCCTAATTTGCCAACATGTAATCAAGTCACACTGAGAGTCACCACCACCACAGGTGTGCAGCCGTGGTGTCCTCTAAAACCAGGAGGCAAAATCACCGAAGCCCCTGCTGTACCTGTGCTATTTACTCTTCTGTTGCCGTGATAAAACACCACGACCAGAGCCACTGAGAGAAGGAAGGCTTTATTTGGGGCTATCCGTTCTCCAAAAGGCTCCACCACATCAGGGCAGGGAGCATGGCCTCAGGCAAGCAGGCAGGTGTGGTAATGAAACCTGTGACCCAGCAGCTGAGAGCTCACATCCACAAACAGGAAGCAGAGAGCACACTAAGAGAGGCATGTGCCTTTTTTTATATTCCATTACTTTTTATTTATTTTACTTTTTATTATTGAAAATAGATTTTTTTTCTATACAATGTAGTCTATTGATGACCTCCCCTCCACAACCCCTCCCAGATCTTCCCCACCTCATCCACCCAAATCCTCTCTTTCATAAGAAACAAACAGCATTTAAAAAATAAAGTAAAATAAAAACCAAGGTAGGACAAAACATACAAACCAACAAACAGAAAATAAAAGAGTCAAAGAAACAGCACAAGAAACACACACAGGCACAGAGATACACACGTTCACACACACACACAGAAATCGCATAAAAACTCAAAATTGGAAACTATAATATATAAGCAAAAGATCTGTAAGGAAAAACAAACAAACAAAAAACAAAAACAAAAAAAAACAACCAGGCAAAGCATAATGAGACCAAAGCAAACAAGGAAACAAAAACAAAATAAAAACTTTCCAACAATACCTTTGAGTTCATTCTGTGTTGGTCACGTACTGCTGGACATGGGCTGCCCTTGAGTGTGGTTTGTGCACCTAGTGAGACTCCCCTGGAGAGAACTAAGTTTTCCTCTAAGAGCAGCTATCAGCTGGAGATAGCTCTGGGTTAGGGATGGGGCTTGAGTCCACTTCCCTTCTCAGTGCTGGGACCCCAGCTGGCTTAGGGCTGTGCAGGCCCTGTGCGTGCTATGCTGTGCAGTCTCTGTGCATGCTGTGCAGTCTCTGTGCGTGCTGCCAGTCTCTGTGCGTGCTGTGCAGTCTCTGTGCATGCTGTGCAGTCTCTGTGCGTGCTGTGCAGTCTCTGTGCGTACTGCCAGTCTCTGTGCATGCTGTGCAGTCTCTGTGCGTGCTGTGCAGTCTCTGTGCGTACTGCCAGTCTCTGTGCGTGCTGTGCAGTCTCTTGCGTGCTGTGCAGTCTCTGTGCGTACTGCCAGTCTCTGTGCGTGCTGTGCAGTCTCTTGCGTGCTGTGCAGTCTCTGTATGTGCTGCCTCAATCTGTGAGCTCACATCAGTCCTGCTGGGTCTAGAAGGTCTTGTTTCCTTGGTTTCTTTCTTTCCCCTGGCTCTTAGAATCTTCCTACCTCCTCTTTTGCAGGATTCCCTGAGTCATGAGGAGACGGATTTGATGGAGACATCCCTTTCAGAGCTGTGTTCCCAGGTCTCTCATTGTCCAGTCGTATTCCCAGCTGCTGTAGAAGCTTCTCTGAGCTGGCAGGAGTCTTTTGAAACCTCAAAGCCCACCCCTAGAGACACACCTCATCTAACGAAGCCATACTTCCCAGTTCTTCCCAAACCAACCAGGACCAAGTATTCAAACTCACGGACCTACAGGGATCATTCTCATTTAAGCCACCACAGTGCCCCGAAAGAACCAGGACAGCCATGTCCACAGAGCCCTTAGAAATAGAATCCTAACAGTTCACCAACCCCTGCCTGCTTTGTCCCTGGTCTGACTGAGTCCCATAGCTTAAGTCTTATAGTTTCTATTGCTGTGATTAAAAATCATGATCAAAAGCAACTTGGGGAGGAAAGAGTTTATTTCAGCTTACAGTTCCACTGCACTAAGGGAAATCTGGGTAGGACTCAAACAGGGCAGGCAGGAACCTGCAGGCAGGAGCGATGCAGAGGCCAAGGAGGGTGCTACTTACTGGCTTGTTTTCAATGGTCTGCTCAGCCTGTCTTCTTCCTCTCCTCCTCCTCGTTTTTTTTTTTTGTGTGTGTGATAGGGTTTCTCTGTGTAGTGCTGACTGTCCTGGAACTCACTCCGTAGACCCCACTGTCCTCATATTCAAAGATCTGCCTGCCTCTGTGTCCTGAGCGTTGGGCCGCCACAACCAGTGTCAGCCTGCTTTCTTACACTACCCAGAACCAGCGTACACAGGGAGCTGGGCCTTCTCATCTGTCATCAGTCCAAAAAATGCTCCATAATCTTGTCCAGAGCCCAGTCTGGTGGGGGCATTTTCTCTGCTGAGGTTTCCTCTTCCCAAATGATCCCAGCCCGTTTCAGACTGACATGACACCAGCCAGCACGGCCTTTAGCAAGCCCTTGTTTAGCTGTTCTGCCTAGTTTTCCATTCCCAGCTGTGTGAACAATCGGAGACTTGATACTTACCGTCTACTCATCCACGAACATCACAATATATCCAACACTGGGAGACAAAAGCGAGGAAATCAGGTCCCTGGTCCCCTCCAGTAGCTGGGTTTGAGTTAGATGATCTTGGAAAGCAAACCCATAACATAAATATAAACATAAGGTTCCATAATGCTAATGGGTTTTTCCACAGGCGGGGCTGGTGCAGAGACCTGTCTGAAGCAGGAACCCAGATCTGAAGGGCAGGACCAAAGGCAAGCAGCACTCCTGGCTCAAAGGCAGTAAGTAAAGGGAGAGGAGCTTGGTCAGGGGCAGAAGGACAGGCACAGGTGCGGTGACTGAGGGTCAGCTGGCTGTAGACACAGCAGACACAGTCAGGAAAGGCCTTTTGGCCAAGAGAAACCGCCCTCTTCGAGAGCAGTGAGAAGTCCTGGCGCTGTTCAAACACAGAGGCAACGTGACTTTTGGTTTCCCAGAATTCTAGTTGATGAGGCAAAGGAAGATCAGCGTGCCAGTCTGAGTCAATCACACAGCTCTGTAGTTGTATGACTGGCGTGGGAGCTACTTTCCACCCTTTTTAAAAGGTGGGGATTTTTTAAATGTATTTGTTTTTATCTTATATGTATGGATGCTTTGTCTACATGTACGTCTGTGCATCACCTGTGCACAATACCCAAAGAGGTCAGAAGGGCGAGTTGGATCCCCTTGGAACTGGAGTTACAGATAGTTCTTAGCCACTGTGTGCATGCTGGGAATCAAACCTGGGTCCTCTGGATGAGCAACCAGTGCTCTTAACCTCTGAGCCATATACAACCCCTCGACATTTTTTTTTAATAGCAAATTTGCTCTGGTTTTGCTATTACGAACACTGATAGAACGAGTGTTGGGGGCGTAGCTCAGTTGGTAGGCTATTTGCTTGGCATACAAGACCTTGGCATAGATGGTGGTACAGCCTGTAATCCCAGATCTCAGCAGTCAGACATTCTAGGTCACTTCTGGGTACATAAAGCACACTAGGTCAACCTGAGATACATGAAATTCTGTCTCAAAAAAAAATTGTGGGTTATAAAACCGTTAAGGATTATTAACCTAAAGAACAGCTTAGGACCCAGGCGGGAGGGTACAGTAAGGCCTGGGGGCTCCCGTCAGTGTGACTTGTATACAGACAGGTGCCATGGGGTAGAACTGGGCTTTGGGGCTCGTAAGCCGCATTCCATACATTGCCTCTGTCCCCTTGGAGGGTACATTCCTGTGTTTTCTCCAAGAGTCTGACCTTCCAAAATGTCTGAGGGAAGAGAGAGGCTGAAAGGAGGAAACCAACCCAGTGCAGTGGGAGCCACCTCCCAGCCAGTGCCACCTCCCCCTCTGAGAAGCCTGGGCCTTGCTGCCTCTCCCCAGGGAGCCCTGCTCTCAGTAGCTGCCAAGGGCTGAGACTATGGGGAGCGTTCTGTTGACAGTGCCCAGCAACCAGGGCTGGGTATCAGCAAGAGGCTGGAGCGGAGAGTCCCCAGGAGGCAGGTCCTGCCCAAGAAGAAGTCCCCAGACCTGTGTGGCTCAGAGGGAATGATGCGGGGAGCCTAGGGTTGAGTCTGTCCTTAGACCCAGCCCTTTAGCAGAATGTTCCCTTTCCCTCCACACACAGCCAGGGAGACTGCCTTCCCCTCCAACAGCGGGGAGCCCTGTAGGACACTGACGTCCCAGCCTGCTGTTCAGCATCCCCTGGTGGGATGGTGGAAGAGAGTGGGATTCACGTGTATCCCCTTGCTGGATCCCCGGGCCAGCAATGGATTGTCCTCCAGCAAGGAAGCCGGCGCCCCTTAGAGGACCCGGATGAGTGGGAGGAGTTCAGCAAAGCCTAAACTCTAGGTAGGGCAGGACTTAGGCCCCTGGGCCTTTATCTCCTCAGGCCCCCAAGCAGATGGTGGGAGGACAGTCAGATCTCAGCTGTTGGAGGTCAGGGAAAGAAGAGCAAGGGAGACTTAGGAATCTCACAGACCAAGCCTCTCACTTGGAACTGCCTCACACCCTCACTCAGGAAAGTGGGGTGATAGAGTCTCTGCCTCTCACCAAGGTCATGGGACTGGACGGGCTAACTGGTGAGCCTGCTGCATAGCTCCCCCCTCCCCCCATGACCTATTGCCTCCTCTCCACAGCCGCCCACACCTTTCCTATGTCTAGAGATCCGGACCCTGTGGCCAGGGAACAGTCTCTGAGTAGATCACTTCCCTCTCTGAATTTCAGGTTCCTTGTTTATCGAAACTGGGGACTCTATTTTAAGGTCAAAGGCAGCAGTTCAGGTCTCATGGGAGATGGTGCATGACACAGACATGGGCAAGGACGATGGAGGTCAGAGGAAGTGTTAGGATGCTGAGGAGGCCAGGGAGGGTCATCGTCTGGAGGGCTAAACATCCCACAGTGGTTCTCAACGTGCCTAGTGCCTCCACCCTTTAGCACAATCATTCACATTGTGGTGACCCTAACTATAAGGTTACATTCGTTGTTACTTCATAACTGCAATTTTGCTGCTGTTATGAATTGTAATGTAGATAATTCTAGAGACAGAGGTTTGGCAGAGGGGCGATGGCTCACAGGTTAGGGACCAGTGGAAGAGCTCTGCCAGAGGTAACTTCTGAACTGCTCCCCCTTATCTTCATGCCACAGAAATCTTTCTAGGTCGCTGTTCAAAAACACCAGCACCAGCATGCAAGGATACACCCCAGAACATAGGCACCCCAAGACAAGGGCCCTTGGTTAAAATGAAAAGCTGCAGCAGAACCAAATACAGCATGCTACAGAGGAGTTGAGACAAGTCTGTCTGTGGAATGCAGGCTGCAGAAACGAAGCATGGTGTTGAAGGTCTTCTGTGATCTCATGTGTTACTATACATGTTCTCACATACATGCTCTACAAGCAAATGTAACATCGGCACACATACACACCGTTTGAAGCATACACGTGAAAATCCTGAATTGCCTGTGCTTCTGTAAACAACCCCTTACCCATGCCCATGTAGACAAGTCTAGTTAAACTCACAGGGTCACCAAAACAAGTAGACAAGAAGCTAGAATAGGGAGGGCCGGGAAGATGGCTCAGCTAGTAAAATGCTTGATGTATAAGGTCCAGAGTTCAGAATCCTAGCACCTGTGTGAAAACCAAGCATGGCACCATGTGTCCATCACACCAGTGCTTGGGGACAAGACATGCAGATCCCAGGGGGTCTCTGGATGGACGGTCTAGCCCAAGCAGGGAACTTCAGATTCAGTAAGAAACACTGGAAAAATAAGAGTGAGAGAGACTGAGGAAGGCCTCATGGTGTAACCGTTGACCTTCACTCTGACCTGCACATATGCACACATATATATGCATGCACATACATGCATGCACACACATGTACACATATGAAGAAGATAGGAGAATAGGAAAGAGATAATTGTTGAATAGGAGGGAGCAAGAGAGGGAATAGGGTGAATATCATCAAGATGCACTATATACATGTCTGAAAGTCTTATAATAAACCCACTATTTTGCCTAATCAATATATGTCAATACATGCTTTGAGACAGGCCTCATTATGCAACCTGGGTGAGCCACTATGAAGACCAGAGTATCTTTGAACTCACAGACATTCTTCTGCTTCTGCCTCCCAAATGCTGGGATTAAAGATGTTCGCCCTAATATCTGACCCCCAAATCTTAATTTTTATTTATTTGTTTGTTTGGTTTGGTTTGGTTTTTAGAGAAATGGTGTCTCTGTGTAGCCCTGGCTGTCCTGGAACTTGCTCTGTAGACCAGGTTGACCTCAAGCTCAGAGATCTGCCTGCCTCTGCCTCCCAAGTGCTGGGATATAGAGCATGCCACCACCATGCAGCAAATCTTTATTTTTACTTAAAGAAAAATGAAATCCTGGAAAGGTACATAGCCCTTGCTAAAAGTAATTTTCTCTAAGGTGGAAAACATATGTGAAATTTTATTTTTTACATTTCTGCACCACCCCTTGGCTTTCTTAGATGTAGTACATATTTTACCTGAATTAAAGAAGGCAAATGGTCGACTTTCTCCTCAGAGAAACAAGAAGAAGGGGAAACTGGCAACGACAAAGATCCGTGGTGTGGGACGTGGTCCAAACATGTGTACCCGTGAAGGTGGAGATGTGACCAGGATGACCAGCCCCTTTCCCTAGTGTTCAGAGACTACCCTCATCCACACCCACACCCTCCTGTGCCTGGCTGAGGTCTGAGGATCTTCTGTACCAGGAGAAGATGGCCCAGATGCGCTGGACTCTCAGATACGGATGGATGGCGTCTTTGGAAGTCCTGAACACTTTGAGGTGTTCTCTTCATGCATTCTGGGATACTCACTAATGAAACCCCAATGAATGAAGAATCCTACACCATGCTAACGCTCAGACCGCCATATTTCACACATCCTATATCATCTGTGGCCTCTTGTTTTTACCTCAGCCAGTGCTGTGGAGTACGTGGCTCTGACCTTTGATTCTGCTTTGTAAATAAGGAAGCTGAGGGGCCACGGGGATGTGCAACTTGCTGAAGGTCACACAGCCACAGAGGGCAGAGGCTGGGCTCACACCGCTCCCACTGATTCTGGACCCCCCCCCCCCCGAGAGCCACCATTTAGTGATCTCCTGGGATACGTACAGCAAGGATATGCTAGCAATGTTTTTAGACCGAAACTGCTCGCTGGGTTACCATTAGCCTGACCACAAATGCTTCTCAGGAAGAGGCCGAGGAGTTGGAGGTGAGGTCAGTGGTAAAGGGCTGGCAGCATGCAGAGGCCCCTAGGTTCTATTCTTGGCACCGAGAAGGGTGGAAGAAGGAGAGGGAAAGACAAGAGAGGAGAAGGAGTAAGGATTGGTGGTGTCTGTGGAGTCAGCTGAGCCATTTGGGGATATACTGACCAGAGTGGCAGCTGCCTAGAAAGATTTAATCAATTTTTAAATTGTGTGTTTGTGTGTGTGTGAGTTGAGTGAGTGAATGAATGTCCATGCCATAACACACATGTGGAGTTCAGAGACCGCTGGCGGGAGTCAGTCCTTTCGTTCGACCATGTGGGGCTCAGACACGGAACTCAGGCTTGAGAGCAAGTACCTTTACTCCACCGAGTCGTGCCACGGGCCTCACAACTGCCTAAATAAAAAGGAAAGGTAAAAAAAAATCCCAGTCTCCCATAGTCTACCATGTAGCTCCCTTCACCATGGTTTGTGTGGTTCTAAAAGGTCAGCACGAGCCAAGCATGTTGGTGCACGCCCGTCATCCTTCTCCTCAGGAGTTGGAGGGGGAGGGTCACAGCCGAAGCCAGTGCCTGCCTGCCACCCTGCTCCTCAGTGAGCTGGAGGGGGATGGTCAAATTCAAAGGTCAAGGCCAGTCTAAGTTACCTATGAAGACCTTCTATAAAACAACAAACAGCCCCAAGAGTTGAAAGTAGTTATTGCTGGAAAAGGATCAGTCATTCATGAATGACTTTGATCTATGCTCATAAGTAACATTGGAAATTAAACAAAATCCAAAGTGAAAATCAAAAGAATTCTGGCTCCAGTCAGGGAGGAAGGGAAATGACTACGGTGGAGAGAAAGGAGACCTAGGAGGAGGTCGGGCTTCCTTGTTCATCACACAAAGAAAAGGACCTGAGCCAGGGATTGACATTGGTGGTGAGTTCTTGGGCTGGGAACATAGCTCGAAGGGTAAAGTATCTGCCTAGCAGTTACGAGATCCTCTTGGGATCAGTCCCTAGCACGGTATAACACTAGGCACGATAGCAAATATCTTTAATCCCATCATTCGGAGTGTAGAGGAAAGGGGATACATAATAAGTTTGAGGCTAGCCTTGGCTTCACGAGACTAACTCAAAAGAGCAGAGGAAGGGGAGCTAGGGAGACGGCTCAGAGGAAAGAGAGCTTGTTGCCCAGACATGAGGACCTGAATTCTGATCCACAGTACCCATATGAGAAGCTAGACTCAGCAACATGCTGCTGGGAACTCAGAGCTGGGGAGGTGAAAACCAGAGATCCCTGGGGCTAAATAATCAAATCTGTGAGCTCAGTGAGAAACTATGTCTCAAAAAATGAGACAGAGAGTAGCTGGGGAAGACATCCAGCATCAGTGTCTAACAAATGAATATGTACACTTGTGTATACACACACACACACACACACACACACACACACACACACACACTGGCTTCCCTTGATGCTGATGAGGAACACTGAACTAGGGAGGGGGAGCCAATTGGAAGAACCAATTGGAAAGCTGAAGAGAAGGCCTGCTCATTCCAGAGGCAAGGACATGCTTCCTTGAGTTCCGAATAGCCAAGTGGGCCCTTGCACACACGGATGTAAAAGAAAAGTGTGTCCTCCTCTCCAAGGGGCAATTTCTACCATAAAACTGCGCTGTCATTGAGCAAGGTCAGACCCACACTTTGGATACCTTGGACATAGCTGGCTGTGGGGGAGGGGCAAGAGCGTGGCCTCTGTTTTTGTGAGTGTGTATGTATTGAGGAGGGTGCGTGTGCATGCACACATGCCACGGTGATTTTCGGGAGTCGGCCTTCTCCTTCCACTATTGGTTCTGAGGATTAAACTCGGGTCGACAGGTTTACACGCTTTGCCCCCTAGGCCGTCTTGCTAGCCCTGTAGGCCCTGGTTTTATACTAGACTCTGCATTGGGCCCAACAGACCTGAGTAAAATAAAAACTGAATCATTCCGGATGAATAAACTTCCGTGTCCCACGAAACCCAATTGTTGTCCAACCTCCCAAGAAAGCAAGGGAATGGGAAAGCCAGATTCTCCCAGGGGCTGGCTGACATGGCCGAGGAACCCCCACTGCTGTGACCTTTTCATCCTTCAATCCTTACAAGATGCAGCCAAATGCCAACCATCCAGTTCTCTGTCCTTCTATCCTTCTGTCCCAGCCCTACAAGGAAGATGTCGTGCAGATGAGCAAGCAGGCATTTGTTCTTCGTTTCCTCTTCTTCAGCCATTCTGCGGCCAGACTGCCAGTCCCGACAGAACCCTTACTCCAGTCTGTGGAATCAAGTGTCGCCTAATTCTAGAATCCCCAAGGCAAGCCAGCGAAGGTCTTTAAAGTTGCCGCAGCCTTGTCTTTTGACAGCAGCACGTAGAGAAGCTGGGCTTTGGATGCAGGCCTGAGGTGTGAAGGGTTGTCCCTGTCCTCACCATGTCATATCCCTGCAGACAGGGGCTGAAGTGTCCAAGACAGAGCTTCCAAAGCTCAGCACATTAGGAGACTCGTTATATAAGGGCAAGGTGTAGCTGGTGAGCTCACCAGGAAATGTTTCTGGCAGAGGAGAGAGTGCCATGCTGTCGGAGGGGCAGGTTCCTCTCCAGGCCCCAGGCTTGCTTATTCCTAAGGGGGTGATTTTTTCTAGAGAGGATCACAAATTCCTTCCTTGGCAGCTCTGGATTCAACCTGGACCTTGTGAGGAGAGAGGACAATGCCTGGGTGTTGAGTAGCAAGAGAGTCAGAGGAGGCCCAGGGCTCTGTCCTGGTGTGTGGTGGCTGTTTGGTCCTCACAGGTCTAGAGGAGCACACCCAGTCTAGAGACCCTCTAGGAAGACAATACAGGAGCAATTCCTGGATTATATTTGCACTGGGCACACCCTGAGGTCCTCTGGAGGTGCCTTTGTTTCTGGAGCACAGGGTGCCTGAGTTCTTCCGGTCACAATTGCTCCCTTAATCATCTCTGCTCTGGAGAGGAGGCTGGAGTGGGTTGGACAAGACACACACAGATGCTGATTCAGGGTTGGTACCTTGAGGACGGTAAGGAACCAGAATCCGTCCAAGGGACCCTTTCAGGTAAAGGAGAAGATGTGTCCATGTGTCTGGAAGCCCTGGAAGGCATTCCCCTGCCTCCTCTCTCAGTTCAAATGCAGATGCCTTTGGGGAACTGAAACTCCTCATACCCAGGGCATATATTTTCTGTAACACTCCTGTGCCTTGTAGCCAGACCACTGAGATCTCCCCAGCTGGTGTGCCTATGGTCACACGGTGCGCAGCACCCACCTACCCCCATTCTAATTCTGCCGGCCTGGAGCTCACCAACCCTTTTCCCATCCTTCTTTTGGTTTTGTCTTGACAGCCACCTGGGGCAGATGATACTGCGGAAAATCAATGGTCACCATTTTAAAATGAGCAAACTGACCCAGAGGAGGGTGACTCACTGCTGTCTCTGAGTCTAGTCACCTCCTAACTCAGCTTCCGCCGGATGTAGCCACAGCCTCCTGTCCCTAAACTCAGGTCAGCCTTCTTGTTTCCATGTCGCATCTTCCTGACTGTTTTTCAATGGCCACTGAGCAAAGGAACCAACCTTTCACGTGCCCCCACACAGCAAAGGAACCAACCTTTCACGTGCCCCCACACTCCCCATGGCGGCGGCATAACCACATGAGGCCACCCGCTGTCCCTACCACATTCCCCCCACATCAGTGACTCCCCTCACGCTGTACCCCCAAGCTAGTTAGTCTCCTCAGGCTCTATGAACACTTCCAGAAATCCAAACCAGCGGAATGTCAACTTGGTCACTTTTCCCCATGGCCTTGGGGAGCAACTTGACCTTTCCTGGCTGCAGAGCTGGGGTGGCACCTGCTTTACCCGGCTGGATGAGGATTAGGTAAAACACCAAACCCTATGCCTCAACTACACACTGGGAGAATAAGGAAGTCCTGAGTGTGAGCAGAGCTGGTCGGGACCAGGTGTGGCTGGGTCTATTGAGTCCAGGAAACTCAATGCTCCTCATTTACCTCCTCCCCAAATTCCTAACACCCACCTAGAGAAATAAGATTATTGTTGTCTGTGAGCATGGGTATGTGTCCTTCCCTGTCTGTAACTTCTGTTCTGCCTCTGCCTTCAGAGGTGGAGATCGCAGGTTTGTGCCACCATGACCAGCTTGCTGTGGAGCTTTAAGGCAGCTAAGCCTTGGACTCACAGGTAACCTGTTGCATCAGGTTCCCTTGGGCAGCTTGTTGAAATGCAGATTGCTGAGCTCCACCCTAGACCTTCTGAATCAGGCTTCCATCAATGAGGCCAAGGAAGCTGCATTTATAAATGAGTCTTATTTATTGTATTTTATGTGTATGAGTATTTTGCCTGCAAGTATGTATGTGCACTGTGCACATGCCTGGTGTCTTAGGAGGTCAGAGGAGGGCATTAGATCTCCTGACGCTGGAGTTACAGGAGGTTGTGAGCCATCATGCAGGTACTGGGAACTGAACTCTGGTCCTTTGCGAAAGTAAGTGCTTGTATTTGCTGGACCAGCACAGGAACCTTCAATTTTAAACAAGTCTGGAAGGAGGGAGCCGAAGCAACAGCTCTAGCCACACAAAAGGAAACTGGGGTGGGAATAGGAGGGCCATGCCTTCCCCTCTGCTTGACTCTGCCAGAGGTGACCTTGGAGAGTGACAAGGACAACAAAGACTTCCACTTCTGCTCGTTTGCTCCTGTTGAGCCTTGGCCTAAGAGTGGGTACAGAGCCAATCAGTGGCAAGACTGGCTACCAGATTCACTCCCGGCTATCCAGTCATTGATACTCAGCAAATATTTGTTGACCCAACTGAACTCCCAAGGGGCCAGCTCTGACAGAAGACAAAGAACCCAGCCGGCTGTCCTGGGTTCCAAAACCTGCTTTTCCCTCTGCATCTGGGTCTGGCCACATAGAGCCAATGGGATTGCTTGACTATTCATGGGAGAGGGAGCAAGAAGAATGTACAGAAAAGCACTTTGGTCCTCAGTCCTGGGAGCCATGTTATGAAGACAGAAAGCTGGGGACAGGAAAATACCTGAGGGACCCCCTCCTGAACAGAGGTGGACGTCAGCCATCAAGGGTTCACTGCACTGAAAGCAGACATCTCTTTCTGGGCTCCGTGACGGCAGCTCAACCCCAGCCTCGCATGACTGACAGGGTTTGAAAGGGTCTGTGCTCAAGCCACGCACCCCCACCCCGAGCAATAGAGTTCAGATTTCGGGGTGACAGAGACACATCGGTATTTGCTTAAAGCAGCACAGAGACTCCGCTGTGTGACTGTAGCAGAAACCTTGCCTGGCTGGCCCCATTTTTCTTTTTCTTGTGCCTCCTAATGCTCGCAGCCCCATGATCCCAGAAATTTAATCTCAATGATCACAGCTAATAATTAGTGAGGGCCTACACATCTGGCAGTGAAGGCCCTGACTTCACCAAAGCCACAGGCTACTGGGGAAGATAGACTAGGAAACAAGTAATTATAATACATGGCATGGGAGTGCCTGGGAACAGCCCCCACCTCAGACCCTGCGGGTCAGCAGGAAAGCGAAGAGGCCTCTGGGAGTCTGAATGGAGGGCGGATGGACAGATGGAAGAGTAGGAGTGAGCCTGAGGAGTCATAGGAGGCAGGGGGGAGGGGAGGAGAGGGAGAGGAGCAGGAAGGTGGGTAGAAGAGAGTAAGCAGTCCTGGCACAGGGAAGGGGAAGTGAACACAGAGACCCATCCCTAACCAAAAAGCTCTTTGCAACTGACACCTGCCAAGAAAGGGGAAATCTGTCTTCTCCAATAGAGTGTCACCATGTCTATGAACCCCAAACCAGGGCAGGCCCCATACCCAGGAGTATCAAACCAACACAAATATGAACTCCATATTTTCTGTACACTTTTTGTTTTGATTATGGTTTTTTTTGTCTTCTTGGCCTATTTGTTTTTTAAATTGGTTTTGTTTTTCTTGTTAGAGAAAGAGAGAACATGAATTTGGATGGGCAGAGGAGGTAGGGAGGATCTGGGAAGATTTAGGGGAAAGGAAAAAATATGATCAAAATATATTGTTTGGAAAAAAGAAAAGAAAAGCAAACAAGAAAGAGTTGGATTTGTGGAAGGGGTAAAAAAAGCTTAGGGAGTGGACGGTCACACGAAAAAGCTTAGGGCTACCTGCCACGGGAGTGAGGGGATCACAAGAAAAACCTTTATGATGGAAGAAGGGAAGACTAGATGCAGGGTTTGCAATCCATGTAAAGGAGACCAGTTTTGGTCTTAACATGTAGAAACACCCAGGGTTAGATTCACAAGATGGGACTAGCTTCAGTGGGCCTCTAAGTTCATCCGCTGTCGGGTGAGTAACAGGGATGAGAGCAGAGACAGAATCTCGTCAGGACTCTGCGGAAAGCCTCTAGATGGGAGATAAGTGTC